TATAAGCAGCATAGGCCTAATTATGATAGACCTAAATTATATTTACATGTTCATATTTTAAATGTAATCGCATTGATTGCTCCTTCAACACAAATTACACACAATTACGATCTGAAAGTTAACATTATTTAAATTATGATGATGTTGTTAGTTTCATTTTTTGTCACACTTTAGAAAATTACATCACATATTAAATTGAATGGCTCAATCTTGCTCCTCGGCTAAAACATCGCCACCTTATCTCGATGACATTTCTGATTTCCTTTCGCTGGTTTTTAAGTAAAGGTCACGTACAAACGCCTTCAGATAATTCCAAAACTTTGAAATCTTTTTGAAGCAGTGTATATGGAATTCCGCCAATATATCTTGCACCAATGCGCATGCTCTCACGGTAGCGTTCTAGCGAAATATGGATTATAATTAATTTACAACGTCTATATTTAGTACTGTTGCTACTAGCCTGTCGGATACCAGGTCCACAGGTTGCTTTCTTTTTAGTGTGTTTGGTTATAATTATATTTTGATCGTTTGGTACATGATAGTATTGGAAAACCGATTTTTACATACTTTCTGATCTGAGCTAATTTCATTCCCTTTACAAAATGCTTTTGAAAAAAAACTTCAAATTTATAGCAAATATATTTACTAACATTACAAGTAGTACGTTATTGAGTTAAACATACGCCTATATCTTTAAATCATAAAAATACAGAAATATAAAACCAAATCAATTGATTTGTTTATAAATATAGGGCCTACAAACAATATAGGCCTACGATATCAAAACGATATTTAAAATAATTTAGGCCTAATAATTTATAAATTTTAAATAATTTACTAAAAATAAAATTGAGTTGAAAAAGCTTAATCTTTTTTCTAATAAATTAAATGCAGTATATAATAATACTTAATATCAAATTCATACAACGGCATCATATTAGCACATAATTGAAAGAACACAAAGATAATAATAGCCTACATACTGTGTACTTGTGGCAAGGTGTGTTAGACCATGGATATAGTAATAATATACCGGTTGATGAGCGCTTCGGTTATATGTCACCTCTACTCAGTAAAACCTTGAATTTTAAACTATATCGCACATCACACTCCACTTGCAATCCTACTAAATTTTATATCCAGTCGACATTTAATTTCTATGGTGCCTATTACCCTTAAGATGAATTGACATTGTGTCGTTATCCGTCCCCCGGGGACAGCTTGCTAATACGTTTCATGTAAACTGCCGACATTGCCGTATTAACTATTACCGGTAGTTAGACCTAGTAATACCAAATGATTTGTAAATACTATGTTTACCAGGGATAGAAGGCAGTGTACTTGTTAATAAAATTAACAGGCCCTAAAGGCAGTGGTCCCAAGTAGGAAAAAGTAAAAGCCGGGAG